AGAGAGAGAGAGAGAGAGAGAGAGAGAGAGAGAGAGAGAGAGAGAGAGAGAGAGAGAGAGAGAGAGAGAGTAGGAGAAACTTACCGATCCCGATGGCCGGCAGCGCTGTCCACTTTCTGTCAGGGTGTCTGTCTATATTTTCCTGCCTGCAGTATCTGCAAGGCCAGAGTTTGAGAAAGGCGAGAGGTCCGGAGAGGAAGAGGGAAGAGGGAAGAGGGAAGAGGGAAGGGAATGAGAAAGAAGGAGACAGCAGCGAACGAACACCGGTGCTGTCAGTGAACTCACATTCGAGACCGCGTGGCCGCCGCTTCAGGAAGGTGACTGAAGCAGCAGAGAGAGGGAGGGGTGCCCTTCTCCCCATCGTACTCTCTCTCGTAGTGGCGGTCGCAACAGGCTACCTAGTGATGTGTCCTTCCATTCTGACTCACCTGTTGTCTGGAAGCGACACCTCCATAGCCGCTCTCCGTCGGTGCACGTCACCTTCACCACCATTACCTCCTCCTTCTCCTCCTCCTCCTCTTCCTCCTCTGCTACATCTGCTGTCCTTGTCTACAGGTACCAGAATCCAATGTGTTCCAGGCACCTGCGATCAGTATGTGGCCTGCGCATCAGGAGCAGCAGCCCTTGCCCGGTCAGGTGAACGAAGTGAAAAATGACCGCGCGGGAACGGAACTCTCTCGCCGCATCTCGGGGACCAAGTCCAAAAGGCAGCGTTGAGTTTCCTCAACGCCCGAATCTGGACGTGTTTGTGGAGATGCGGGGAAAATCGCGGTAAGTTTCTTCAAGTGCACATCTCCACAAACACGTCCAGATCCCGGCGCTGAGGAACCTCAACGCTGCTAGTGGGACTTGGCCCCGGGCCTACTGTGTGGTGTACCTCTTTGTTTTTTCCCCGCTCAGTTTCCAGCTGCCCCCGCCCATAATTCGCTTCATGGCGCGTTCGTTATGAATCGTTGTTCTGTGTGGCTTTTTTTTGCGTTTGTTCCATTTTTGGTGTGTTTTTTTTTGGGGGGGGGAGCTTTTTTTGGTTTTCATTTCCGGTGGGCGGGGTAAGTTGAGAAATACCCCCAGATCCAGCGGCCTTGCTCAGTTGGTAAGCCACGCGAGTGGCATCCCGGAGGTCTTCGGTTCAATCCCCATTGACCTCCTGTACCTTCCTGGGCAAGGTTGGCACCCGCCATCTGGACACAAGCCGTGGCGGTTGGCGACGGGGAGACCTATGAATATATACTGGAACTGGAACTGGTCAGGAAAACTGCCCAAGAAGTGGGTGACGCCGCAGACCCAGCATCAAATGCGCATCCTTGAAACTCAAGTGCGGCCGGGGCAAAATCACACCTGAACTAGGTGCGAATGGATACAGCCTATGTGGCACCCTCGGCCTCAGATCCCGTGGCCTAGGAGGCCGGCCGCGGCCCCACAGCCTAGGCTGCACGGCCTAGTTTTTCCACGGCCGCGCCACGTGCAGGTGGAGCCGTGCGCCCAAATCGGGGCGGGCGCATTGCCTGCGCATGGCATCCCCCGCCAGAAACAACTAAGGAAAAAAAAAAAGTGAAATGTGGGGGGGGGGGTTCGTTTTCAGATGGGTAAAATAATAATTGTGCGTCTCTCTCTCTCTCTCTCTCTCTCTCTCTCTCTCTCTCTCTCTCTCTCTCTCTCTCTCTCTCTCTCT